GCTGAAGCTGATGGAAGTCCAATGCCTTGGCTGGATACCTGCTCTCCTAAGTAGTTTAAGTCACATCTACGCTGTCCACACTGTGCCAACACACGCAAATACGTGAGCATTTATCGTACTTTAAGAGGTAATTCCTGAACCTGGGAAAGGTCAGCTCTCCGCAGCGGAGCACTACTCTTGGGCAACAGGAAGCATGTGAAGGTCAGTCTTGATTTCTCAGCTTGGAGACGGACATGTGGGTGGCTCAACAGTTACACAGCACCCCAAAAGCTCACCTGAAAATCCCCTCTGTTTGTTCTCCCCCCAGAGCCAGGACCTGCTGCGATAGCTGTGTCTGCACCCAGGGCAGCTTGTTACCCGGGTACGTGTCCTGCTGCCGCAGCATGATTTCCTCCAGAGAGCTGCCGAAGAGCGATGGCGTCACGATGGCGTTCCTGGCATGTGTGATCTCTTCCACCGTTGGTTTGCGGAGGCCCTGAGGACAGAGGAGAGCTCAGTGCACTGTGGCACAGCCAGCCCGCAGCGACCTGGGGGTGGTGGCAGTGAGCAGCCAGGATGGAGGGAGCTGCCCATGCGTGTGGACACCTCACTGGCTTCCTGGCAGCACGGTTCTTGCTCTGCAGCCTCTGTCTCCTAAATTCAGGGAGAGGTCAACTCAGCAGGCCCAGGAGGAGCACAGAAGCTGCTGTCAGCTGGCAGGAGACCACTTTGGAGAGTTTGGGCTGGTTTTGCAGGGATTCTGTAGCTGTGTTTTGCACACTGGAGGGACTGCTCCAGCTGCAGCTCTACCTGCTGGTGTGGTGGGAGGAAGGATGGAGCCCAGCCTGTCCCCAGCCTTGGCGAGGTCAGCAGAGGGCACGTGTACACCAGCCGGGTGAGTGCTCCACCACGGGTAGCTGAAAGATGGCCCTTTGGGGAAGGGAATTCCACGTACGTCCAACTCCAGGGAAAGCTTTGCCCTCAGAGGTGCAAAAGCAGGCACTGAGACCTGTTGCTTCTGAAAGACACTGACACCTGAAAGGGACTCTGAGTCTCCCCGGGCAGAGATTCAGTGAAAGGCAGAGCGCTGTCACGTGAGCGACAGGCTGCCTGGCGCAGTGGCCATTTGGCAGTGACCCTGCGGCCAAGTGGGAGGAGCGACGGGGGAAAGCTCCCACCGACCCCTCAGAGGGCGGCCACCGCCGGGGCTGCAGTGGTGTCCGATGCGTGTCTGGATGCTTCCTGTCCTGCCCCCGCGGGGCTGCCGGCAGCCTTCACCCCTCCCGAGGTATTTCAGCTATGTGCTCGCTGTACACGAGTCCAGATGGCAGGGAGGGCCCATTGGGATTTGCAGAAATAAAAGACGACCGGATCTGGCTGGAGAGCGAGGATGGACAAGCTGGGGCCGCCTGCCAGCTTTCACAGCCCCGCGCAGAACTCTGCAGAGGAAAGGGAGGAGGGGGATTTCCAGATAACATGGAGCAGAGGCTCCGGCTGTCTCTGCTGCCTGTTTTTTGAACTGGGACTGAGCAACTCTGCAGTAAAACAGCTGCAAGACCCGGCCCATGCAAGGTCTCAGTGGCAAAGGGAGACTCTTCCTTCACCTGAAGAACCCAAATAATGGGCATCCCCTGCAGAGACATCTCCTCTTACCCTGGAGACAGGTGGACATCAGGTTTCTCCTCCACGTCCCTAAGGCCAGCGAGCACCCAGCTGCACAGCTGCCAGCACGGCAGGCGCTGCTGAATGCCAGGATGGCGGGACCTGGGCAGCAGCCTCTCCCACGTGTTCACGGGAAGGCGAGCCCTGAGCAAGCCTCCCCTGCTCGCTCGCTCTACCTCAACTTCCCATCGCTGAGTCAGTGGTGACCTGAGAGAGCCATGGGACCGACCGCTCCGGGGCCTGGGAAGCAGTGTACCATGCAGGCAGCCTACAGGCCCTAGAGCCGGGGCAGCCGCTCACCTTTTTGCCTCCAGTGATGGCGACTTTCTGGAGTTTCCGGTAGCAGTATTTGGCGTAGGTGCTGATGGGCAGACCTGCAGGAAGGAGAAACGAGTCAGCCCCCAGTGCTATGTGGCCACACACTGGAGCCCTTTGGAAAGCACCAGTGCAGCAGCTCACAAACAGCCACCCCCACGCCACCCCCCGTGCAGCCTGTTGTGCGGGCAGGGCAGGGAGACTGCCGACACCTCACACCAAGTGCCCCGCAGCCTCCCGGCCCTGCAGCCCCATGGCAAGCGGTGTCAGTGCAAGTCAGTCCTTGGGCTAGGAGGGATTGGTTCCTTCCAACCCTAACCATTCTATGATTCTATGATTGATCTTCTGAGTCAGGGCTCGTAGCTCTGCACCTCCCACCCCCGCTCCTGCAGATCTGCACCTCCTGCACAGGCAGGCTGACCCCATCCTGACTCCAAGCAAGGCGCA